TACAGCCAATGTATGGCTTGAATTAATGACCGCAAGATCAAGAGTCACATTGTCTATCAACTGAGCCAGCCAGGTGCCCCTCTTCAAGAGTGATGTTGGCCACATTATTACCTTGAGTGTAAGGACATTGGCCTAAACTTAATTTGTAACTATTTGCTCTTCATCTCAAAACCTACACACTGAGGGAAAAACATCTTCAGTGTAAGCTGAATCTAATCTCACATTTCTCTCACCACCATGGGCCTTAAATTTGCTCTAAAGTATGAGGCAAAAGTCAAGCAAGCATCTCCTCTCTTGCACACAGCATGTGAAGGGGAGTGTCATTGTTTTTTTTAAAAGTCTCAGAGACCACAGCTCAAAAAGCCCTTTTAGATAAGTTTCCATATCCCCTCAGCCAGAGGGAAATAAACCACACCATTTAGATATTTTCCCCTTAAAATCTAGTTAGATTTGATTTCAGTAGATTTAGATTTTATTTTTAGAAAACAAACTTAATTTGGCCTGCACACTAAGTCTATGTCTTCATACACAAGAGAGGCATAAATCTGCAAAAGAGCCTTGAGCTGTGACCAGCTTCTCCTCCCTGCCCAGAGGGGGTCTTCATTCTCCACCTCCCTTTCCCTGCAGGCAACATTTAAGAAGACTGGTCTCTATAAGTAAAGCTGAATTAGAAAGGACTGAAAACTTCCAGTTTTGTGATTTGATTCTTGACTCTGTGATCCTACAGTGTGCAAAGATGAGTTCATTCCTACCATTGATGCTTTAGGAAAACTGGAGTCCAAACATGGACGACATCCAGTATTCCCCTGTCATCATTTAGTCTGTCCCAAGACCCACACAACTAGTCTATGGACTTATCTAAATCTACCTGATAGTTCAGTGAAGAGTAATCCATTTACTTAACTAAATTATTTCTCCTGCTGTACTTCCAGTTGTTTGAGTAAATTCACTGGTCATCCTAATTAAAGCCATCCATATGCTAACCATGACTGAGTGATTCTGATAACAGGGGTCTAATGCTTTTGGCTCTCTTGGGGCTAACTGCTCTCCTTCACAGTTTTAACTCAGTCCCACAGCTTTCAAGCCAATTTGGTTTACTTTATTTATTTATTTATTTATTTATTTATTTATTTATTTGAGAAAGAGGGCACAAGTGAGTAATGGGCAGAGAAAGAGGGAGAGAGAATCCCATGAGGGACAGAGAGAGATAGAGGGAGAGAGAGAAGTGGGGCTCACCCAAAGCGGGGCTCGTGTTCACCCAAACAGGGTTCGTGTTCTTCTGAAGTGGGGTTCAAACTCAGGAATCCGTGAGATCATGACCTGAGCCAAAGTCAGATGCTTAACAACTGAACCACCCCAGGCTCCCTGGTTTACTTTATGTCTACATTCTGGATTCTGATTTGCCTGGCACAGTTTGTACAGTGTATTAAAAAAATCATAGATGCATACTGGAATCTCGTGGGTAGCTTTAAAAAATACTGGTGCCTATGCCCCCTGTCCCCAGATATTCTGATAAATTGATGTATTATGCAGCTTGTGCATCAGGAGTCTTTGAAGTTCCCCAGGTGATTTTAATATGCAGCCAGGGTCATGCACAGCTCAAGCAAAGTAGCCCATTTGCAGCTGACCTCCACTCACCTGGGCTGTAGCATTTCTATTCCTTTCCCTACCCACCCAACCTCTCTTTGTAGCTGTTCAACTCCCACAGTCACAGGAAATTTCAGTCTTTCCTTCCTCCTGACCTCTTATACCAATGATCTCAAACTCCACCCAAGTCTTTTATAATTACAATGGATCTGTTAGCTCCTCTTAACTCTCAAGACATAACCATTTCTCTTATACTCTAATTTACATTATATCTCTCAGTGTACCTATGAATACAAGGATAATCCCTGCCCACAAATGACTTATTTTTTAATGATGACTTTTAAAAGTTTACAAATAACTGTACTGGACTAATTAATGATCAAATTTAGGTAGTTCTATGCCACTACACTTAAAATCAAAGATCTCATATATTCACACATATTTTACCTTGAGTATTCACACACACACACAATACACAGGGTAGAGGTAAATACAGAGATACCCCAAACTGTGATAGAAATGAAAACTCCGAAGGGAAATCTCAGCATTTGCTGAAACTCACGGTGGCTGGCACCCCATCAAGTTGTCGAGCCCCGTGATTCGACACCAAGATCCCATCCAAACCATGTTTAACTGCCTCCCTGGCATCATCACCTAGAAAGAGAAAGACAGCCATTGTATATGAAAAGGCAATTTAACAGAAGACATGGGTTTAGAAATTGAAAGGTCCCAGTCAAAGGGAGGCTGACCTCATACCTTGCTCAGAATCTTTAGCATAGGAATACACCAAGGGTTAGGTCTAGAATAGTAATGATAGTTTCCTTGACCAAAGTGTTAGCATTGACAACAGTTTAATGATGGCATAAAATTTTCAGTAGATAGCAAATTGATATGCAGTTAAAATTTATTTAGTCTCACAAGGAAGTACTCCTACTAAGCATTTTTATTATTATTAATGAGATAATACCATTTAGTGTTTAGCAGAATTACCCCTTTGCAATTTGCATAGCATAAAAGAATACATCAGTGGAAAGCACCTTAAGTGTAACAGGAAAGGAACAAATCTATTCCAAAAACATTCTTTAATACAAAGTTATGTCTTCAATAATTATCTTAAGTTGTATTGTTCTATAATTAAATGTATTTCACCCATTGAAGTATATGAAAATGTACAAAAATTAAAATTATATGCTATGTCTCTAATCATGCTTCAAAATATATCAACTTCTGAAAATATAGTTTTAAAATAGATTAACATTCTCTCAAATCAATTCCCAGCACACTTTTTACATTTTATATTTCAAACTATTGTTTTCAGCATGCTCACAATAAAAACACATTTGCTAACAGAATCAGGCAAATGACACTGATACTCAAATTTAACACTCAGAAATAGTTGGCCTAAGATTGTAGTGAAAAGCATATTTAGGAAATGTAACCAAATGGATACCAAACATTGTATACATTCATAAATCCAGCAATGGAGATCAAGGGCAGACCTGACCAAGAATAATGAAAAAAGATTCATAAGAGAATCTGTAATTCTGACCTTTTTTAAACTGTATGCTAAACCATCATTTTCGAACCTGTGTTTTATTGAGTGCTAGTTTTTAAGTATATCCATTTAAATAAATGATGCTAGTATTATTTCTCTTCTAAAACTACATGTACATGAAAATGTTAAACTCATGGTTCATGGACTGAATGTTTGAATCCCTCCAAAGTCTGTATGTTGAAACCTTAACCTCCAACGTGATAGTATCCAGAGATGGTGCTTTTGGAAAGTGATTAAAGTTAGATGAGTTCATGAGAGTGGGGCTTTCATGAGGGTATTGGTGCCCTTATAAGAAAAGATCAGAGAACTTACTTGCCCACCCAATCTCCACTCATAACAATGAACACGTCATGTGAGCGCACAGCGCAACTTGACTGTTAACTAGGGGCTACTGGACTGTGAGCTCCTTAAGTGTCAGAGCCGAGAACAGCATCATGTCATATTGTCAATGTTTTCCACCCATAGGTTGTTCCAGCCATTCATTCATTTCTTTAGAAAGGATGGAGCTACCACGTCAAGTGGCCCATTGTTGCACAAGCGATGAGGGAGGACAGGATGGCTGGCTTCTGTAAGAGCTTCACAAGCAGAACTCTCATGAATTCTCATGAATCTCCTGGCTTTCTTCTCCACTTCTCATCTTCCATCTCTGTCACACTTGCAGACTAGACCCTGGGTGCCTCTCAGACAATCATTACAGAATCTCCTGTCTCCTCCAGGGCTTCCTCTGGGCCTATCATGAGGGGGAGTTTTCTTTGCATTTCCTCCTATAAACACGTTCCCTTACATTTTGTGTCTCTCATAAATCTCTTGAAGTTTCTCTGTTGTGTGTGTCCCTTATCTTTCATTCCTCTGCTGTCACAAGACTTATGCAGTTTTGTACGTCTCTACTTTATTTTCAGTGGCTTAATGGGTTTGATGAGAGGGTACATATCTACTCAGTCCATTATTTGGAACCAGAAACCCAATATATTATCATTTAAACTCTGTTTGGGTAAATGGTTCTTTAAAAATATGGCCTTAATACAATGTAAAGTGTATGTGGAATTGGGGAGGTTTGCTTTGGTTATCTAATTGTGTGCATGATACCAAACATCAAAAGTAAAAAAAAAAAAAAATCAAAATACATGTAGTTACAACCTATGTTCTCAGAAACTGAATATTATCAGCAAACCGATCCTATACAATATGAAAAAAAAATGATTAACTTCTTAGGGTTAGTAGTTAGACCACCTGAATTTGAATTTGGATCTGCTACTTGCCTGCTACATAAATGGCAAGCTTCTTAACCTCTCTGTGCATCAGGGTTCCTAAGTCATAAAATAGGGATAGTAATTCACATAAGATTGGCTTGTGAATTAAAGTAGTTGAATGAGTGTTTAGAAAGTGCCTGACACATGTTGAGCACTCAGATAAATATTAACTGTTACTATTAATTTCATCTGATGGTGCAGGAAGTATAAACTCAGATGAGTAAGTGGAGGAAAATTCGTTTGCTGGATGCCTTTGGCAAGTCTGATTGAGTTTTGTTTATAACAATAAATTTTCATCCTGGTCAGGATTATGATTATAAAGAGCCTTTCATTTGAAGTAAGCACCGCTTAAGTAACAGTTTGTTACCTCCTATCATTTCAAGTGGTTTTCCAGGTTCTTCTAGGCAGTGCTGGGAATGTAGGGGGAAATGATAGAATGGTTTACTCAGAAGATAAGATCCTGAGTATCTGGAGAAGCAAAGTAAGAATAATTTATGACCAGATATGAACCCCTTTCGTTAACTGCTTATGAAGCCTTGTCCAAAGTTTCACATTTTATTTTAATCCAGAGAGAAAAACAATGTTGCCTTAATAGGAGGGTGAAAATGTTCTGGCTTTGCAAAAAGTTCATGAATTTTTGGTATTTTCATTAATCCTTAACGTTTACTGCTATGGCATTCCACGTATGTTAATTTGCCAGTTAATACATTAATTGATTGACAAATGCAATAGTCAATGGGGAATAGCACTGTTTGCTATCTTCTTGATATATTATTTTTATATTTAATTAAGTACTCAAGATTTACCCTCAAGCCCATGGAGTTTTTGACTCAGGACTCTGCTATCTCATAGGAATTTAGTAACTAAATCCTAGTTGCATGGCAGCAGTTTTGAGCACAATCTAGAAACTCTGAATAGCTTTGAGAGTGTTGTAAAAAAATGTGTATAAGAAAAGAGCTAGTTACAGTTTTGAGAAACAAAAAAGCCACTATGGAAATATCACAGAAGAGTTTAATTCTGTTTTTTTTAATTTTAAAACTACTCTGAAAAGCATTATGCCTTTTCTCATAAAGCCATTTGTTTATTAGCATGAGTTTTGGTGAAGACCAAATCCTGTCTCAAATACATGTTTAGAGTTTGTGTTGAAGTTTTCCAAGGGCAGAGTTTAACCACAGCAAGAGATTACATCTTGCACTTCAATTTGCGTTCATCAAGATGCAATTCTTAAAATGGTGGTAAGGGGGGGAATTTTCACCGAGATCTTTCCAGCATATGTGAATTCATGCTCCCGCAAACATCATCTATACCTTTTCATCAAAAGAAAATGAAAGAGGATGGGTGATGCTCAGTCTATCCATGTGACTTCTGGAAGAAGATCTGTGAAACAGAATTGGATTTCCCAGAACTGCCCCCTTCACCCACCCCCATCAAGATTGAGCTTTTGCACTACTTGATGCAGTTGTTGTCATGGAGACAATTCTTGTTTGTTAAATAAATGAAACAAATAGTCACAGAGAAACTAGACAATGTAAACTGTACATTTGTAAATAAGCTATTTCCTTTCAAATGCCAAATGCTCCATCTCTCTTTCTCTTCCTTTTTGAGGTCTCTCTAATTATATAGACTCATAGTTTTCACTGAGGATTTTAGCCAATAAACATTTGGGCTATCTACTATGTGTAAAACATTATGAAATATGTGGAAAGAAATGATATGATTCACATGGATGAGAATAAAAGAGAAGTGACGGTGAGGGTGGTGGTCCTAGGTAAGATGACCACAGAAGGAAGTTCTAGAAGCCAGAGTATTTTGCAACATAACACACGATAGTAAAGTCTAATTAAATAGACACACATCATATCCTAGAGGACAGAGTTGGAGAAAATGATATATATTGGGAATCCTAAATTGAAAAGCTTGTTTAAAATGTAAATAACCTCATTCTTATATATGTTCTCTATTAGACAAATATGGGACTATACTAAGACTTCATTCTTCTTTGTGTTTTAAGCCCTTTGCCCTGGGCCACACTTGTGATGAGAATGAATTAAATACTTGGAACTACATTAATTTTCTAATTCAATTCCACCTTCTCAGTTTCCTGAGGTCAGCCACAATCATCTCTTGCCCAGGCAACAAGTTTCTTAAGTGTCCCCCTCACCACAATTTTGCCACCTCCATCCATCAGGTCCATGAAACAATGCTGGATTTTTCTAAGATACTAATCTAATGAGGTGGCTTCCCTGATTGAGAATCTCAGTGGTTCTCAAATATGTTTTATAAATTGTTACTCAGAACTGCTTTATTTTGCTATTATTTCAGTCTGAGTCTTTTGATATTGTGGCAAAACTCAAACATTATCTGTCATTCTAAAATGAAACTCCCTAACCTGCTTTTATAAGTGTCCATGCCCTATTTGAAACCCCACCCTAATACCGCATAGGTTTCTATCTCAGCACTTGTAACATCTTATTGCCCCCAAATTCTTGTTTTTATGTCTGTCTCCTACAAGAATGGGCTCTCCTCTTGGCCAAAGACCTCAAATTACTATCATTTTTAACTTCAGCACACAATAATCATGATGCATATTTAAAAAATGAATGCCTTCGTGAGTAACTGAATAGATGCATGAATGAATGGGGCAGAACCTTTGGGTTAATATTCTATAGTATCTACAGTTGAATGTAGGTATAGGAAGTAGTGCTAACAATCATGGATGACAACACGTATGCCAGTTAAGTAAGTGAAACTGTTGTTTAAAGATGTCTATAACACTAGGAAGTATTCTTTGAAGTGGAATCCACAGAAATTTTGAACTAGTACAATGATCAACAGGAAAGAATGTAACAATATTTTTGAAAAGCACAAATGAAGATAGGTCTGGATTCAAATGTATTTCCACTATTTAAAAGCTTTGCTGGACCCATTCTTTTACTTTTATTAACTTTATTTCTGCACACTTAAGATTAAATAGATAAAGCCAAGGGCAGGTCTACAGCTTTATAAATAGGGGCCATGTGACTCACATATTCAAGTAAATCTGATGAAAATGTTTTGATTAGAAGTTGTTGAAAAAAAAAAAAAAGAAGTTGTTGTTGTTGACCCTGAGATAAGTTAATAGAATATCTCATCTCAGAGCCACTTACTTAAACATTCACATTTAAATAATAAGGTTTTGGCAGTTTTCTATATAATTAACTAAAAAAAAATGTTTTCAAAGGCAGGAAAACATTTCTGTGGGAGAATACATTTATACTTATACTCCAAATTATCCAAGTCATTGGTACTTCCCTGTGGGATTTGAATACATGTGGATACTGGAGAAGCAGTCAGTTTTCTTAATAATCATGGCTTGATATTTGAGGATTTTAATGTTGTAGTCAACCATTCTTCATGTGGGATTCACCACACTCAAAAATCAGTCCTAGTCATTGGTACTTGCAAGGAACAGAGAAAAATAGAAAAGGCTCTTGAAAGAGGTCTGGCTGTCATAATATCATCCTTGGGTTTCTTCTTGGTCTAGAAGTAGCTTGTTGTAGCTTTTAGCCAAAACAATGAACTCAAGACGTTTTGCCTACACCTTGTCAAGCTCCATGATTTAGTGATGGCTCCAAGATAAGGCAACAGAAACCCAACACTTTAAAAAAGGTAAACTTCTTACTTCATGAGAGACAAGGTCTTCAGTGTATTACCTAAGAATGAGGAAATATTTACTCACAAACATCAATATGGAGAATTGAGAGATGGAATGTCTCCTTAGATATCCACATTAATTTTTCCTGGTTATTTTCTCTTAAAAATATCATGATCATATCTACAAAGAATCATGAGAACAGTATGAGAAAAACACAAACCTCTCAAAATGCCTTTTGCAACAATTGGCAGTGATGTCAGCCCCCTCAGCCATTTAATATCCTCCCAGCTGATGGATGGGTCTATTGCTTTAGATACGTATGTAGCAAGTCCACTGTTGTCTCCAAAATTTTCCTTTGGAGAAAATGCTAAATCATTGGTTTCAAAATTTTTCATTCTGAAATAAAGATACATAAAATGAGAATTTCCCAGAGTTAGAGATAATTTTACAAAGACTCATTCAATGAAAAATGAAATGTCAGCCTTTCAAATCAATTAGATGTTCTTCAACCATCTATAGGTTGCTTGCATGCATATTTCCCATGTTTTGAGGTAAGATTCCAGACTAAGTGTGACAAACATTATAGACTCTTTCTCCTGCCCTCCTATTATGTTGTTGGTGGTGATGGTGGACACAGGGAGTGGTGGGAAGTGTTTCCCAGCATGTGGGTTCTCAGCTCTTGCCTTTTCCTCCTCCATTTAGTTGTTTCCTCTGAGGCTGTCTGCCTACCAACTCAAATTTACCAATCTTTCAGACAATCCTGGCAGGGCATGAGCTTTCCAATTACCAAGATCTTCATTTCTTTGCCTGTGGTACGACCACTAATTTATGTGCCAATTTGATTGGGCTAAAGGATACCTAGATAGCTGGTAAAATGTTATTTCTGGGTGTGTCTGTGTGGATGTTTCTGGGTGAGATTAGCACTTAAATCAGTAGACTGAGCAAAGATGATAACTCTCATCTCATCGATGTGGGTGGGCATCATCCAATCTGTTCAGGTCCTGAATACAACAAAAAAGGGGAAGAAGGACAAATGTGTTCTCTGTGCTTGAGCTGGAACATCCATCATCTCCTACCCTTGGACGTTGAAACATCTGGTTGTCAAGCCTTCAGATTTGGACCAGAACTTACACTATCATCCCCTAATTCTTGGGCCTTTAGATTCACATTGGGACTTACACCATTGGCTCCCCTGGTTCTCAGGTCTTCTGGTTTGGACTGGAAGTATACCAGTCTATGAGCCTCCAGCTCATAGACAGCAGATTGTGGGACTTTTCAGACTCCATAATGATGTGAGTGGATCCCTCATAATGTGTGTGTGTGTGTGTGTGTGTGTGTGTGTCCTACTGATTTTGCTTCTCTGGATAATCTAATACATGTGACTTTCTCCTGCTCCTGAAACCCTAGTAACCACACACACAGGAGATCTGAAGTGTCAGGAATGTTGGCATATAAATACCCCAGTTCCTTCACCCCTAAGCAGGCTAAACCTGAGATAGGTTCTACATATCCCAGAATTTCCAATCAGGATTGAGCTTCAGTTGCCTGCAGTTGGAGTTGTCTTGGTAACAGGCCCTTTGTTCATTGCCTCCTTTCCCTGACACCACTTCCCCACTCAGTATTCACTTCATCTTCCAAAGAAACTATTTGCATTTAAATCACTGGCTCACAGTCTCCTCCTAGGGGAACCCAAATTGACACACAACCTCACTGAGTTGCTGCCTCTCCCTGTGTCTAATTTTATTGAACCAATTTAGACCAGGATTTCTCTGACATACTGGTAAGACTCTGCTACTGGCTCATTCTATACCTGAAGTCTTTTCTCTTGGCTTAATATCCTGATATCCTGACTACAGTTTGGCAGTTCCCTAAACCAGAGACAAAGTTTTTTCTGCCTGTACCTTTGATCACTAACTGGGTAGATGACCATCTGGATATACAATGGCATCACCCCCTGTGACTTAGCTGCCTACAGACCCAAATCCAATTGCAAACTTCATCTCTCCGAAAGGGTATCTTTGAATGATGACAGTGACCTGGATTCACCTTGTTTTTCTGCACATTATAAATTACCTTGCTAGTCAATCTCCAATTTGGATAAAATACAGCTGTATATTATTCTCTGGCTTAGTCATAACACTTTCTTTCTTTCTGCTAGTTCTGCCATTGAACATATAAAGGATTTTGGAGCAATGACTCTAACAATTTCTATATAAACCTAAAAGTACATAGGCACACTATTTTGAATTTTTTCAAAAGAATCATAAGACTTCTTTTAATACAAACTAGGCTTAATTTTTTAGTATACTTTCAGCTAAAATAGCTCCTTGTGTGGCTCAAGTGGCATACATTCTCATAAGGACATGAACATTCATACCCCACCTAACTCTATTCAAGCCATTGGCGACATTTTCTCAATAAGGATTGAACAGCTTGTCCTATAGACCATTGACTCAGTTGACCATTAAGGATCATAGAAAATTTCAACTTCATGAGAGTCTTACTGGTACCCATCTATTTGTTGAGATTTGGTTTGGATTTTAGCTGAAATACCTAGCTAGGCATTTCTTTTTATCAAACCATTTAGGGTTGTACATTTTATCACAGCCTTTGGTATTCTGTGCTCATCTTCATTTGAATTAAGCTAAGCTTTTGGTCTATAAACATACCCTTATTATGAAGACCTATTCCAGAATATTACCTAGAAATGGTATTAAGTGATATTAAATTCTGAACTTTTAAATAATATTGTTAATAAGAAAAAGGTTAGGTCTGTCTGTTCCACAGCAAGACCAGGGGGGAAAAGAAGAAAAACATCTGTATGTATATATACTCTGCATAGCACCCCACCCCCATCCCAAACAAGCTACAGTGTTTCAGCAGAGGCGGGGTGGAAGGGTGAAATGGATAGGAAAAAACAGAAACATGGATAAAATTATATAAATAACTGTTGTTATTCTTGGATGGCGAAATGCAGATCAACACTTGAATGAATGTTGCCTTACAGAAATTTCAGTGCACAATGAAGCCTTGTTGTTACTCTAAAACGTTGTTCAAAGCCAGAAGCCAAGAAAAAGTTTTCAGATATCTTGACAGAGACCCACGATGGAGTGTTTTACCAGTGCTTCTGAAGGAAACCTCCGTGAATACTATTTTTATTTGAATTATGACATATACACAAGAAACACTTAAAGTGGCTGCTGATAACCAAAGTGTTCCATTTCTCAAGGAAGGAGAGGAGCAACGTCAAAGTAATAACACAATTACTTGGGACTTAATTCTCCAAATCCCACCCTGTTTAAATGACCCAAAAGCAAAGGGAAGAACTGGCTTTGTAAGAAACTCATTGTGCCTTGAATGCCTGAGAATATTATTTACTGTAAGTACTGATGGTGTGACATTAAAGACAAAGCTTTGTGTCTCCATGGTGGGAAACAAAATATAAAACAATAACCAGTAGAGCCCATGATATCTACACAATATGAAAGGGAGAGAGATTCATAATACATATAGAAATTTGTGCATAGGCCACTAGCTTTTAATGCTGGTTAGGAAAACATTTATATTGAGAACATAACCCTGCTAATTTCTTCCTCATTGTTCTGGGCAGTTAGAAGAAATGTTCAGGGCATGGATTTTAAGTTTGAGCTCAAATTCTTGTTCAATATCTTAGTAGTCATGTTTCATTGGGTAAATCTCATGTAATCTAGTACATTTTCATTGATGGATTCAACATTACTTACTGAGCACCTGCTATATGTTTTAGATGTTTAGGAGATACCAGTAGGTAAGACAACCAAAAATACCTGGCCACGTAGGGTTGACATTCTAGCAAGGGGAGACAGAAAACAAACAACAAACGTAATCGATAAGTAATTTATGGAGTATGTTAGAACATAAGAGCTATGTAAAATTTAAAAAAAAGGTAAAGCAGAATAAGAGGGATGTGAGCTGGTAGAGGTTTAACTGAAAGTTTAGATATCATAATCAGACTTGGCCTCGCTGAGAAGGTACCTGGTAGAGGAAATCAGCAGAGCATTGTTATTGTATTTGTTTCCTGTTGCCGCTATAGCAAATGACTGCAAACCTTTAAAATGACACAGACGAGGATTTTAAAATAACACAGACTTATTATACTACATTTATGGAGGTCAGAAGTCCAAAATGTATCTCACTGGACTAAACTCAAGGTGTTGATAAGGCTGTTTTCCTTCCAGAGGCCCTAGAGAAAAATCTTTTCCTTTCCTTTTCCAGCTTGTAAACACCTACATGCCCTGACTTCTGATGATACCCTTCCAATTTCTGCTTCTATCATCATATCTCCTCTGACTTTTGACACTCCTGCTTCCCTAAGGACACTTTTAATTACATTAAGCCTACTGGAATAATCTAGGATAATCTTCCCATCTCAAGGTCCTTAACTTAATCACAAGCGCAAAATCCATTTTGCCATGTAACTTAACATATTCACAGGTTCCAGGGATTAGGACATGAATGTCTTTGGGAGGTTATTATTTTGTTTAACACAGTTACATTTTGAATATTTTCCTAACCAAAGAATTTAGAGGCTGTTGGCCCTGTATCAAGTTCTCCTTTGCAAATCTTTCTCTCCCCTTAACCCCACCCAGGATTCCCAAATGTACTGTATCTCCATTCTGATTTCTACTGTTTGTTTTTATTTGGGTTTTCCACTAGAAAGACATGTAGATCCATCCTTGATGTCAAAGTGTAAAAGAAGTGAGGAAGTTAGTTGTGCATGGATTTGAGGAAAGACATATAAGATGGAGAGAGGAGTCATTTCTGAGGCTGTAAGGCACCAACCAGCAAGCCTGGCATGTTGAAAGAACAGTAGGCAAGCCCATACAGCTGGGAAGAGTGAATGGAGGTGAGGGTGCCAGGTGATAAGGGAAAAGAGATAAGGGGGTCCTGCTCCTGGGAAGCCCTGCAGGCCACTTTTATCATGACAGACCTGGGAAGATAGTGGCAATCTGATCTTCTTCCCTGTGATATGTTCTGGCTGGTGTGATTAATAAGTCCTTTTAGGGCTATAGGGCTATAATCAAATCACCAAAAGAATAGGTGTCATGATTTACCTTGATCTTAGTCAATGGCTGGAAATTTCTTTTCTTTTCTTTCAACTGCCTTGGTGCTGCACTAAAGAGCCAAATCTTTACTCAGGGTAAATGAACCATCTCCAGGGGGTAGAGAGAGGAAAAGGCCCCTGCCTCAAAGCCTGAGCAATCAATCTAGTGAACTGGCCCCATTCTTTGTTTCTTCCAAGAGCAGATGAGACTTCCCCTTATTCTCCCTCAGTTTCAGGAAGCTCCATGCCATTCATAATACACACATACATGTGTTTTGCATATAGACCAAGCAGAGACTACCAAACTCCTGAACTCTGGCTGGTCTCAGATGCCAAGAGTTGGGATCCTCCCCCACCCTGTTTACCCTTCCCCCTCTCCTCCCCAGCAGAGGAAGTAGCTAGGGCTGGAAGGAGCCACTGCTTTACAGACTCATTCTTCTCTGGATTTCCTGCCTCCCCCGCCTGCCAAACCTCACTTCTGAAAAGCCCGGCTTCACCTTCTATGAGTCAGGTCAGTTGCGGAAAAAAACCTGATTTCATATCAGGCTGTAACAGATGAGCTTTTTGGTTGTATGTGGCCTCAGGCGGAAGCCTGGGCCTCCCATTAGTGCGCTCTGCCTTCGACTGCTGAATGTGAGCTGCTGAGGAGCGGACCAGAGAGCGCTGGCCTGCCCCGAAGCCCAGGAGAACAAACAAGGCCAGTGTGCACTCCAGGGGTCCAGGGCACCAGGCTGTGGGGTGTTTCCTGTGTTCCCTGTAACCTGGATGTGTTGCTCATTATTTGATCATCTTCAGATGGGAGATGTGACAAGCTGGGGAGTCGTGGCCACTCCTGAGCACATGGACAGCTGAAAAGGGCCTTTGTCTCTTGGTCCTTCTAGTCATCTGGGCAGGAGCCCAGGAGCAAAGGACAAGGGGGAGAAAGCAAATCAACCCTCTTGCTCCTGACAGAATGGCCCTGGCACCGAAGAAGCAAGCGATATCAGCCAGAATTAATTAACAAGTGTATACAGTAGGGTGTATAACACCCTAATGTATTATTTATTATTGTTGTTGTCAGTAGTAGTCGTTGTGAGGGGAGGAGAAAAAGGAATACCAAATTCTCTTTCAAATGGCCAAAGGGAAAATAACGTAGAATGTTTCCTGTCAGAAGCCTGAATAGCGGGAAACTAATTATTTTAGAAAGTCTAATAAATAAGGTAATCAAAATAGAGAAGTAAGGTGAATACAGATTTCATATTAGGGAAATTTGAAGCCATCTACTTCTGATGGATTTGGCAAGAAGTGGGAATATGTCAGGACTTTTGTTTTTGTTTCTGTTCTCTTAGAAAGACAGAGTGTTTGGGTAACCCAGTGTCTGGGATACACGGAACAGGTTTATTGACAGCTCTGTCAAGGTTATTGAAGGTACCACATACACAGACAATATCCTAAATCTGCCTAGAAGTAACACAGAGATAGCACCACACAGTTAATTTACATATCATTCAATGATGGCAAAATTTTATGCATGGTAGTTTATACTCAAATAGATATAGACACAGCAGAGCTACATAATAGTTCTGTGACACTCAGATAAGACTATACATGGACTTACGTGGTGGTTGAGATACATGTTACTCTATACCATATATGGAATTCCTACCTTTTAACAATGTTCTTGTCCTTATATGGAATGCTGATTTGATTTAGAATCTTTTGGATTTGGATCTTTTAGAAGTGTTCACTTCATATACAGACAGAGTAAGCAATGGCCCATTGTAAAATGAGGTCTAGGATCCTGGAAAGGAATCCTTTATCTTTTCACATACTCTGATGGATGGATGCCTTGAAATCCCACCATCAAAATGTCCTCCATTAAAATGAATATTTTGATTCCTTTTCAGATAGCTTTATCCCTAAAAGCTATCAGTCACATATTGATATGAAAAACCTAAGAGCAGATTTTGGCGGGAACTAGGGTAAGGAAAAAAACAAAGGGGAAAAAAGGCCTCCAGGTTAAAGAGATGAGGGTTCTTTCTCAATAAACTCCAGGAGTTCCTAGCTTTGACACAATATAAATCTAGTCTTAAAATATTACAGGGAAAAGGACAATTCCTTGCTAACAGACAGGCTAAATGGCCTGATAAAACCATCACAGTTTAATTTTAGATTACTAGATAAATTGGTTTTGCCTAGATGAGTGAGTGAGTGAATGAATGAATGAATCTTGACCCATTGATGAACCACAATGAAAGAGGAACATTGCTGAATAGAGGAGGAGATAGGGAATCAAACATGTGGTTTCTTTTGTCTCCATTCTTTTAGCTATTTAGTCTTAATAGACACGGGAAAATCTTTCTTTTTATCTTAATAGACATGGGAAAAAACCTTTGGAGCTGGTACATGACAAAAATGAAGAGAATTAGAAGATCAGTTCAGGAGCCGAGGTGATCAGAGACCCATGGTTACCTGAGTTGAGGTGGCAGCTTGAACCTATTACGCACATCGTCAAAGCGGTTCCCGAGGTAAGGAGTGTCCACTGTCAGAAATATGGCCTTGTAGCCCCTTTGTTCTGCCCGCTGCACTAGCTGCTTGGTGACCTCACGGTCCTTGTAGATGTACAGTTGCAGCCAGCGGAGTGCCTCGGGACTGGCCTCTGCCACTTCTTCAATTGAGGAAGTGGACCAGGAACTCAGCATCATCCCGGTTCCCAGTGACCTGCAGGCTGAGGAAGAAAGAAGATAAAGGCAAGCCCAGCATTCTTCCTCACTCCAAAGCCTTCAGGCTGTGGCTCAAGGGGGTGGAAACATCTACAAGAGCAATTTGGCAATAAGAAGTCAGTTCTTTAAATAATTAGAAATATGCTTTCCTTTCTACACTCCGAATTGATCTTGAAGAGAAAAATGAGTCAAATAGCCAAAGATGTACTATGGGTAGGGATGAAAAAATTTGGAACAACCTGAATCTCCAACCTTAGGGGATTGGATACACTGCAGTACATATATAAAATGAAAGGTACACACCCATTAAAGGCAATATGTTTGTGGTGTTTAATTTTGTGTGTCAACTTGGCTAAGTGATGGTTTCCAGAATTTGCTCAAATACATCTGGTTGTTGCTGTGAAGGTATGTTTTAAGGAGACTAACGTTCAAATAGGTAGATTTTAAGTAAGGTAGATTACTCTCCATAAGGTGAATAGGGATCATCCAATCAATTGAAGGCTTTCCCTGAGGATTCTGTTAGCAGACTGCCTTCAGACCCAAACTGCAACATGAACTCTTCTCTAGGTCTCCAACCTGACAGCTTACCCTTTAGGTTTTAGACTTGCCAGGGTCCACAAATAAATCCCCCTACCTTTGCCTCTCTTTCTATGTACATATTCTGTTTCTATTACAGTTATAAAAGAATAATATTATTTGTGGATACAGAAAGAATTTCAAGATATATTTTTGAAAAGTCTACAAAATGACACATATAATTCCACATTTGTACCAGTGTGATTATTGGTTTATAAACCTAAACAAACTACTTGTTAATGAGAGGTTGGAGAGTTTAATTATTTTCTTCGTTTTTAACTTTTTAACTTTTATCTTCAAACATTTTGTTAAGGGTGCATTCTCCCGTTTATGTTGTACTTTTTAATATTATAAAATATGTATGCTAGACATCCCAAGTACATAGCAGCTCCCTCACAACCTTTTGAGCAAGATATCAAGAAATGAGCACAGTGAAAGTGAAAAATAAGTAATAAATTAGATAGATTCACCTAACCAATAGTCTTAGAGAACTGGGAAGAACATGGGTGATAAGCTTTTCACTGAAAAAAGGGTAAAAGGCAGTAGAATTGGGGTCATCTTTAGTGGAGGAGAAACTGATACAATGTTTGTATGCCAAATACCAAACATGGCAAGAGACAATATGTCTCTAACCATATGTAAACTAATCATATGACCCTGGGTCATTCAACTTATCTGTGTGCCTGACATATATCAAATGGCAGTAAAAGTAGTTGTCCAAGTGACACTCCTTGGGTGATGTTGAGATCAAGTGATGTGCTGTTTAAGATACAACTTTGAGAAGCTAAAACGCTTCTGTGCATTTTCAAATCTCCCTTCAGTGTTTGTGAAAACATAGTGTGCAAACATTCCCCCAGAATTTCTAGTTCAGTAGGTCTGAGATGGGGCCTGAGAATTTGCCTTTCCAACCAGTTCCCAAAGGTGCTGATGCTGCCAGTCCCCTGTACCACACTTTGAAATTTAAGTGGTAGCATTATCATTGGGTAGTAAAATTCTAAGTCCACACGGTAATAAAATGGATTTTGTTCTGCACAAATGTTACTTTTCCTATGGTAGGTGCTGCGTTCCTGTGGTTCAGGTGAGAGTTCAGATAAAGAAGACCTAAACTGGAGATTATCTTGTCTGTGGGCAGCTAATTTGTTCCCTCCAAGTGTGCCTTGAGAATTGCTCTCAAGAGGCTCATGACTTGCAAAATATTGTCACAACCCACATCTTATTAAGTAATAACACATATGCACATCTAGACCATTGTCTGATTTTCATTAAGATTTATAAATATGGAAAATAGCTCCAGGTCATCTACTGCTGTTTGGAAGGAACACCAGGGAACGCTGACTGGGTCAGAATCCCCTAACCATCAATTTATCACAGAGAAAATATGCCCTGAAGAGGATGTGCTCTAAGATGGCACAGAAATGGAGAGCTGAGTGGGATGAGGACCCAGCATGTCTGACTACTTCTGCAGGGCAATGATCTTTCTAGATAGAATTCTTAGATGCCCAAAAGACTCTCTGGTATCAAGCATAGATAAATGCGTTCTCCCAATTCTTCAGAGCCATCATCCCCAAAGGGAGTAGGTTTGCCATATCCCTGAAGGATGCTACCATGCCAACAGCTCTGGGAAGGCATGGAAATGGAAACCAGGGTGTAGGGCCTGCCACATACTGCAGTACAGAGTGTAGCTACACAAAGGGGTTCAGCTAAGAGGACCATCAAATGATAGGACAACTTTTTGTAGTGTATATAAAGGCATCATGTTGGTGAGCGGCTCCTCTGTCAATAAAGATCAAGAATCCTCAAAAAGATCTTGAATTCATAAGAAATATCTACAGACACTCCACAAAGACCATTAAAATCGTTAAGCTATCAAACTTGCAAGAGGTGTTGACCTTCACAAACCTTTTGTCTAGTCCCCTTGGGTGGGTATGTCCAGAGAAAAGCAAAGCTAGTTCATGCCATCTATTTCCTGAGTCTACTGCTTTGATACTAATGGTTCCTGAAGCTATTGGTGCTCAATGTTTATTTTTCAATGATTAAATCATATGGGGCTGAAATTTTGAGAATCAGGACCTTTAAACTTCTAAGTTACCAATGTTTCCAGCTGTAGGCATTTAATAAATATTTGGTGATTTTACTTCAGGAGAAAATGCTGGATGCAGAGAGAATTTCAGAGCCTGTGCTGACATACTACGAGTTGAGACTATATATTACTCCTAGGAGAGAACAGGAGCAAAACTTAGAAGGCTTCATGCTCCTTGGAACATATATTACTGCCCACTGTGATCCCCATTCACCTGTGATCATATGCTGTGATAAAAAAAAAGACAATTATGGATGAATTACATCTATGGTTTTCAACACAGTTTTATGTTGAATGAGATAGAGCACCCTGGGATTTTGCAAGGACCATTCAGAGAGACAATCACAACTTTGCCTGTTAAAATATTGAAACACTTCCATTCTAACTGGCAAATAACCATGGCTCTGAAGGAAATGACCCTCCTTCTTGAGTCCCTTCAATGTGGCATCATTCTCTTCTCTCCTCAAGGAATCCCTGGACCCCCAACCCTACAACCCAGAAATTCAAATGTTAATGCCTGGCAGGGCTGCTGGGCATCCAGAATGCTGTTAGAGAACTAGAAACCAGCATCTGAGCATCTCTTCTAATTGGTTAAAGTCTTTCGTTGTACTGGTTGCTAAATGTTTCAAATGTCATTTTTGCCTGATAAATAAAGAAAATGCCCTTCTAGCCCACATTGCTCTTTGGGGACAAAAACTACAAGCTTTTTAATTTTATAAATCACTTGGCATAGTCAGACTTTGTTATAAAATTCTAATTAGAGTTATCCTAGTCCAGTGCATAAATGTTTTTGAAGCCCGTTTTCACTCCATATTAATTTTCTGCAATGAAACTCTGACCTGCTCTCAAAAGCAGCAACTGTTAGATTTCATTTTACAAGGGACAGTGGTTCACTTGCATGGAGCTGTGTGTCCAGCTTGCGGTGTAGCAACAGAAGACTCCAGCATATGTTGCATTTTCATAACTCCTAGCAAAATGGAGATCACATCTGAGGTGGTAAAGACAAGGCCTGGCCCTTGCCCAAGATGAAAGTCCGTAATGTTGATCCAAGTCTAAAAATCTTGGCTTTCATTATAGCCAGCATATCCTAGAGATACAATATCCAGGAGGATACACAATCAAGTAAACACTGATCCCATATGACATCCCACGACTCTGTTTCCTTACTTTCACTCACTCCCTCTTTTATCATCCCTAAGATATATTTTCAAGAATAAAAACCTAAACCTTTAATGCTCTAGATGTATTCATATTTTAATTTTTTCTTCTTCTTTATTTAGAGACAGCAGTAATACATTATGCCATTGTTATAAAAAATGCATATGAGGGGTGCCTGGGTGGCTCAGTCTGTTAAGCGGCCAACTTCGGCTCAGGTCATGATCTCGCGGTCTGTGAGTTCGAGCCCCGCGTCGGGCTCTGTGCTGACAGCTCAGAGCCTGGTGCCTGTTTCAGATTCTGTGTCTCCCTCTTTCTGACCCTCCCCCGTTCATGCTCTGTCTCTCTCTGTCTCAAAAATAAATAAACATTAAAAAAATTTTTTAAAAAATGCATGTGAGATACACACACACATATCACTAAAAGAGACATTAGTA